TTGCATTTTGGAGTACATTCTCTGTGAATATGGGCTCTACTCCTCTTTTGCTCTCATAATTTCTGCTGGTCCTGCCTTACTTGACCTGTTGGGCAGAAACCAACCTCATAAAGGAAATCAACAGCAGACATTTAATGCAACCTTTTTATGATGCTTGGAGCAGGATTAACATCTCGCATAGACGGCTGAAGAGTGACTTTGCAAAACTGTGCTTTGTGTAGCTGCTGTTTGAATGTGCATGGCTTCCCATGCAGTGAGGGACACATGCACCAAGATGGGCTCCTGCTGCATTTGTGGATGTGTCCTCTCTTTCTAATGCTCAGTCCACTCCTAGCAGTGTGACCTTTGCTGTCTCTGCCATTCCATCCCCAACTCTGTTGGGGGAGCTAGATGAGGGTTCAGAATAAGAAAATGTCTTATTGTGGCACCTTCCTATCTTGTGTCCCTCCAAATAACAGGGTGCTAAAAATGTGGCAGTTCCCAGAAGTCAGAGTGTGGGAATGATGCTAACGGTGGAAATGCTCGAGACTCCTTTATTTCTCTCATTCTATCCAACCCTGCCTCCCTACTCCCATCCACCCCCGCATCCTGGTATAGCAAGGCTGAATTACAACATGGCAAGACAGGTCCTTCTGGGACTGTTTATCAGGCTGCACTACCAGGAGGATACTCAACATAGATCTAACCCAAGTGAGTACTCATTTTAATGAGTAATTTTACAGAGGAGGGAATGGGCTCTGAAGGGGTTAAATGGCTTGTCCAGGGTAGACACTGTCAGTTGTAGGCAGAGCTGGGCCCATTGACTCCCGGGCTTGTGTTCCTTTTTCACAAAAAGTGTTCTTTTATTCTACCTCCTAACAAGTTAGGCTCTGTGCAACAGTTACCATGAGGCAAATTCAATTCCATTTGAGGGAAGTTCATTTTGTTTGGGTATCAGCAAAACTTGCAATATTAAGAGAAGCCTAGAAATGTAAGTCTGCATTAATTTAAAATGTTAAGCACTTAGGAAGGCTGAGGCGGGCAGATCACTTGAGGTCAGGAGTTGGAGACCAGCCTGGCCAACATGGCGATACCCTGTCTCTACTAAAACTTCAAAAATTAGCTGGGCATGGTGGTGCACACCTGTAATCCCAGCTCTCAGGGGGCTGAGGCAGGAGAATCGCTTGAGCCTGGGAGGCAGAGGTTGCAGTGAGCCTAGATGGTGCTACTGCACTCCAGCCTGGGTGGCAGAGTGAGACTATCTCGAAAATAAATAAATAAATAATAAATAAAATGTTAAGCAACACTAACACTTCTAAGGAGCTCTGTGGTGCTCTTTGTGTTCATTACCATTTCTGCAAGCCTTGTATTTGAGTGGGATGGTTGTTTCATGCCTGAAGGGTGGTGTAACTTTGTGCGTCTATACCTCTAAAAAGAATGTACTGAGAGTTTGAAGCCTTTCTGGAATAAAAATTGAAGCCTTTCTACCCCATACATTATTTTCCTTCAGATACTATGGCCAACGATGCCCATTCACCCTTTGTTTCTCCCTCCCTCCCTCCCTCCTCCCTTCCCTTCCTTCTCTCCTCCCTTCCTTCCATCTTCCTTCCTTCTTTCCTACCTTTTTCATTTCCCTTCTTCCTTTCTATTCTCCTTCCCCCTCCTTCTCCTCTATCTCTTCTACCTCTTATCTTTCCTTTCTTTGGTAAAGGAATGGTTGAGAGTGAATTGTCAAGACAAAGCCATAGAGTATGGTTCAATCAATGCTAACCACCCTCAAATAAAACACTATCTACTAATCTCCTAGATTAAACGAATGAACAAACAAACAAACAAACAAAAAAACCCAACTTTGGAAAAGGAAGGTATGTAGCAAAGATATAAATAGGCATCTACCTAAGATTATAATGTTCTGAGTTCTTAAAGGCATTCTTGTGAAGAAAACATGAGCTTGGATGACATGATGATGAAGTAGACAAGATTTATATCTACCTTATTCCCATATCCCCTCAATTTTGAGTCCAGATCTGAGACTCCCACGGGTATAAAAATGTGCAGGGGAGTGATCTAGCTTCCCAAAATTCAAAAAACACAATAACCAATCTAGGATGACATCTTTCCTAACTTTCCCTGAAAGTCTAGACATGGTCTCATAGGAGTGACACCAGTTGTTGTAGGCCCGAGAGCAAAACCACATTTGGATTTTATTGCTAAGATGCTTCAGGACAGAATTTGTTCTGGTCAGGCTGAAATAAGAAAAGGAATTAATACTAAGGAGCTGGAAGAGTGTAACTGAGCTTGCGTCTAAGGAAAACAAATACATTCCGGAGAGACTAAAAGATGCAATTTTCTTGATGAAATGAGGCGTGGGACCTAATCCCCTTTTCAGCCAGGTTTATCACATAGAGGTAGGTGTGTGTGTGTGGCGGGGGGGGGGGGGGGGGGGAGCGGTGTATGTGTTGTCTTTTCTAGAAACCTCTTTTTTTTTTTCTTGAGGTTAATTAAAAGCACATTTGATAATATGAAAATAGCTCTAACTATGATGGTTTTCATCAATGTAGGGCCTTTCAAGTATTCTCCTGGCACTCTGAGACTAAAGGTGCCATGATCGCCCTAAGCCATTTGGAAATTGTGTGGCAAATTGTGCAGTAAGTACTTCCTTGTGAATTTATGAATCTCATCAGATTTTGGAACACGCTGATCTGAGAGGTGAGGGCAGGGCTCCGAGCCTGACTGCTTCACTGCTCATCCGTGGCTTCCTTTTATCTTCCTTTCCAGTGCAGAGCTCCAAATAGTTTTTCAAACCCCATTAGACTTCCCAATGGCATTCTTAAGAGAAGAAGGAAGAGTGTTTGTTTAGTTGAATTAGGGGAAGTCTCCTGTGGCCAGTGAAGTTTTATTGAGCCATTTCTAGAAGAACTAAAAAAATCAAGTGGACTTCTTTGTTTTGTGCTTTATTGTTTATTTACATTTGCTTGGGGAAAAGGTAATCTGCACAGGTTGGATGTCAGCTGAGAAGTGGGACACCATTCATAAGACAGAGAGGAGGACTCTGGTGGAGAAAATATTTGCATAGACAGACCACTTGGTTGAAATGGAAAGAGGGAGTCAGAGAATTTCATTATGTGAGTTACGGGCTTTGGTGGCACTTTCTGAGTGTGTAACGTGTCAGGTAGTGAAGGCTTGCGGGGGGTCGAAGAAGGGATTGCCAGCAAAAGGAAGATGTGCCAGATGGAAAAAAACCACTGGGAGAAGATTAGTTAGCTTTATCAATAAGAAAAAGTTGGGATAGAACAAAAGCATAATAGTACTGTATCACATAGCCAAAATTATCATAGAGGTATAGATGTGTGTGTGCACGTGAGTGTGCGTGCATGAGTGCATGTATGCATGTGTGCAAATCCGTATTCACTATATATATGTGTGTGCGTGTGTGTGTGTGTGTGTGTTGAACCTAACTTCCTGAATACTTGCCATGCACTGGGCACTGTTCTGGAGTGGTTCGAATCTCATGACTCTTTGTCCTCCGAGTGGCACTTTGCTTTAGGTAAGCACGTTTGAGCCTCAGGTGCAGGATTTCCCTTGCTTGCCTACAAGGGAATTCAAAGAAACAATAAAGCAGAAAGTCTACAACTCCACCTGGTATGGGATTTAAGGAAACTACTCTTATCAATCTCATTTTATAGGAACACAAATAAATTAAGTTTGTCCAAAGTCACGCGGTTAGTAAGTGGAATCGGTAGGATCTGCCCCAGAAAGTGCAGCGCCAGAACAGGGCTGTTTCGCCCCCGTAGTAGCACTTGCCCTCTCGACAGGCACTCTTTAGTTTTCTCTGTTTGTCAATATGCCAAAAGTGCACATAAAATGATGGTTGTGGGAGTACAATTTATATAGCACATTATTGGAAAATACCTGAATGTTCCACTACAGGGAATGGGTTAAATAAACTTTGGTATGTTCGTGTAAGAGGGCACTATACAGGTGTTAAAAATAATATTCTCCAAGAATATATGTGACTACTAGGCTTAGGTTTTGTTACATGAAAAAAGCAGGCAGCAAATCTGTATGTATAATTTGATGCTAATTTTGTTTTTTAAAACTACCGTGAAGGGAAAAATGGAGACAAGCTAACTATATATGAGAAGAATGAGTAATAAACCGTGGCTTAGTCATTCAATGGAATACTACATCTAGTTCAACTGAATGAAAATAATCTCCATGGATCAACATGGGTAAGTCTTAAAACATAATGCTGACTAAAAAAAGCAAGGTACGAAAGGGTATACATGGCATTGTATCACTTATGCAAAAATCTAAAAAGTACAAAAGTAATATACATTTTATGAATCTAATTGTATAGTAAAGGCCAGGTGCGGTGGCTCATGCCTGTAATCCCAGCACTTTGGGAGGCCGAGGTGGGCAGATCACTTGAGGCCAGGAGTTTGAGATCAGCCTGGCCAACATGGCAAAACCCTCGAGGCGGGCGGATCACAAGGTCAGGAGATCGAGACCATGGTGAAACCCCGTCTCTACTAAAAAATAGAAAAAAAAAATTAGCCGGGCGCAGTGGCGGGCGCCTGTAGTCCCAGCTACTGGGGAGGCTGAGGTAGGAGAATGGCGTGAACCCGGGAGGCGGAGCTTGCAGTGAGCCGAGATTGCGCCACTGCACTCCAGCCTGGGCCACAGAGCGAGACTCCGTCTCAAAAAAAAAAAAAAAAAAAAAAAAAAATACAGAAAAAGTAGCCAGGCAGGGTGGCCCACGCCTGTAAGCCCAGCTACTCAGGTGGCTGAGACAGGAGAATCGCTGCAACCCAGTAGGTGGGGATTGCAGTGAGCCAAGATTACGCCACTGCACTCCAGCCTGAGCAACAGAGTGAGACTGTCTCTCTCGCTGTCTCTCTCTCTCTGTCTCTCTCTCTCTCTCCCTCTCTCTCTCTCTATATATATATAGTAAAAGCACAAAAACATTTCTTTCTCTCTATATATATCATATTATATATATATATTATGATAAACCCATCTAATTCTTCTCATTCCTAAAGGAAATGAAGAAGTGCTATCCTAAAGCTGGTGTGTATAGATCCTGTGAATGTTTCTGTACTTTTACTATATGTGTATATATTTCTTCATTTCCTTTAGGAATGAGAAAGAACTAGATGGGTTTCAGCTGGATCCATTTTATTTCTACAGGAGAGAACTAAGCAAATGTGGTAAAATGTTAACATTTGTTAAATCTGAGTGGTGCATCCCTAGGTTTCTTTTATACTGCTTTCTGTATGTTTGCAACATTTTATAATTAAAATTTGTCTGTGTGATATATAATAAGGATACACACGTGGAAGAGGCTAGCGGGCACCAAAATATAAACAGCAACTCTATTGGCAAAGTATAGCACAAACTTATTTTCTTTAAGCTTTTCTGTATTTTTAAAATTTATATAGTAAGTATGATATAAGAAATAAAAACAGGACATGTCTTTTTAGGAAGCAACAATGTTGTAGGCAAAGAGTGCTGCAGTGGAGTATGGAATCTGCTCCTATGTGACACTGGTTGATTCACGTAGGCACTTTGTGGCAGTTTCCTCACCTGCACGGTGGTTTTATGGGCCACGGGCTCACTAAACCGACTTATTCTTCCTGGTAACCTGCATACAGACCTCCCAGGCCCTGGTGTGAAGGTGGCTCTGTGACTAACTCTTGCTGGTGGAGTGGGAGGAGGCAGTTAGAAGTAAGTGAGCCTGCTCTGAAGTTTCTCTCTGCCTTCTGTCTGCTGTATGGATGCAGTCTGGGGCATCCTGAAATCCTTTGTTGAGATGGTGGAGCCACAGCAGGGGAGGAGCCTGGATCCCCATGTGTCACCACTGGCGTGAGAGAGGCCCAGCCAGAAATATATCCCTTGAATTTTGTGAGAGCAAGAAGTAAACTTTTGGGCTAGTTTGTTACAGCAGTTAGACTACTCTGACCGATACAGGCTCCATCTGTCAGATCCCTTCAAGTTCTGATATTCTGTGAATGCCAGAGGCCCTTGGTTTAAAGCTGTCTCTCCATTCATTTATCTCTTGATGAAGTTCACTAGTCTCAGGGACAAACTTATCTAAACCAGCAATTTGGACATGTCTGAAAGAAAGAAACTGGTGTAATAACAAGTGAGTTGAAAAGATAAAAGACAGTGGCCAGAAGACCAGGGGAAAATCCAGAACTTAGTAAGTCTGGGCTGTGCATGGCTTGAGGCTAAGGACAAGAACTTGAACATTTTTTATCTCTTTATAACCCTTCAGTTTTACAGATTGTAATCTCTTAATCAATACCTGTTGGATAAATGAATACATGTGTAGGAAGCTGCAATCAGTGATAGCCACATACCTTGAAAAGCCACTGCTGCTTAATTTCTAGAGTTATTGACCTTTTAGTTTCATGAAGTGAGTAAGAGCACATGATCTGGAGTCGGAGGGGTCAGGCAGGCTGGGTGAGAATCCCAGCTCTGCCTCTTCCTTAGCCTTTCCAAGCCTGTTTTCTTAGACATAAAATAGGGATAAAAATGCTATAAAACCCATAGTCATTTTGAGGATTAAAGGAGTTAGGTAATGCAGGTGAAGCACAGGCCTGCTCCACAGTTGAGTAACTTGGATTTATGACATGGATTCAAGGTGACCCTAAGTTAAATCAAGATAAGACTCCCACTGGGCTCAGTGGCTCATACCTGTAAACCCAGCACTTTGGGAGACTGAGACAGGAGGGTTGCCTGAAGCCAGGAGTTTGAGACCATTCTGGGCAACATAGCAAGACCCTGTCTGTACAAAAAAAAAATGTAAAAATTAATCAGGCATTGTGGTGTGCACTGTAATCCCAGCTACTTGGGAGGCTGAGGTGGGAGGATCACTTGAGCTCAGGAGTTTGAGGCTGCAGTGAGCTATGATCGTGCCACTGCACTCCAGCCTGGGTAACAAAGCAAGACGTCTGTCTCTAAAACAAAACAAAACAAGAACAAAAACAAAAAATATGACAACTGTCTACCTCTCCTTACCTAGTTCTCCCACAGGCACTAGCTAAGTCAGCACAGGTGTTGGCCTTGACAAGATTAGCATTGCATTGGTAGAATGCTGCAAAATGGCCTTCTTAAAGTACCGTTACATCATCCTTGCTGAAGTAATCAATGATTCTCATGGAACAAGAGCACAGGAGGTGAGACAGCACTGTTTCCTAATGCAGATGCCCTTCAGGGTCACTCCCTGGCTGAATGACCTAGAGAAGGGGACTCAAATGCATTTTCTCATCTCTGAAGTCGGGGGAGAACACCTGCCTGCCATGCCATTTACTGTGAGGGTGAAACCAGTGTTCCTGAAGCTCATGGCCTGGCACAGAAGGGAGCTCCTGGGTGTCAGTTCTCCCTCTTCATGTCACCTCTTTGAAACCCAGCCCTAGTTGAAGTTCAGATGATATTTCTCTAGTTTTTATGCAGAACACCGTCATTTTTGGTAAAATTCACCTACATTTTGGGAAGCATTCCCACCACCTCCCCATCCCCAACCTTCATTTACTTGAAGGGAAATAGAATCTATCTGGTTTTGATTCATTTACACTCCACTCGTTAGCATTAGTTTGTAAGCATCAGCTAACATCCAAGTAACCCTTGGAACCTTGTTCTAAAGGCTGCATTTTCAAGTTTAGAAAGTTTATTTTTCTTTCTTTCTTTCTTCTTTTTAAAAAAAAATGCTAAAAGGAAGCTGGACTTCAGTACTAGTTTGAGTTTGGGTTTATTTTCTGTGTATGACTGGCTTCCAACAAATTTGGCTAAAAAAAAAAATACACTTTGCCATTCCAGGTTTTACAATTTCAGCTCAGTTGAATTTACTCTCGAAAAAAGTTTTCATATTCTAACCCAAGGGAAAGTTTTTGTGTTCTGTTGCTGTTTTGCTGGATCATGGAATTGTTACCTTTTCAAGATCTTTGGTTTGCCACTCAAATGAAAAAAAAAATGAAGACCTTTACTGCATATTTGCATGATATTGGCTTTCTGTTGACCTTACCTTTATTTGATTTGGTAGAGGGTTTTGGTAGAAATTGGAAGAAGTTTCATTCATGAAGACAGACTTGGGAAATTACATACAATTATCCAAGCCTATACTCAACAAGAGGAAAAACAGAAAGAAGCTGGATGCTTCCCTTGGAGTGGAGGGTTTCTCAGAGGTTTCTATTGAGCAGGACACTCACTCTCTACCGTATCATTTTACCCACCAGGCCTGTATAATAAACACAACCTTAAGACAGTGCAGTCTACTTTCCGTTGTGTAGTAATAGGCTTCATCTGCTCTTTCTAGCTAACAATTGTTCATTGTTCATGCTGCCTCAAGGTTTAGAAACCAGAATTTCTCCCCGGTTCCCAGGAAACTGAAAACAAAGAAGGAGGTAATTTCCACGTGTGTAGCAGGCACTCCATTTGTTAAAGGTCTCAAGTCGTGTATCTGTGTTTTTTAGATGAGTCTGTAACAGATTTGATTTTTGTGTAAACCTCAGACAGGAGATAAAGTCTTCTCCTGGATTTCCATTTAGGTTGTTTGAGGCTCAAATGAGCTTTCTGGACAGACTCGGTAAGTATTGTTAAGTTTGACTAAAGTACTCATTTCCGGATGAAGAAGATGCATTTGTGATTTCATAAGGGTATCAATACATCTTAATCTTCTAGTCCTCTACCTTGCTACTGTCCAGAGCTGGTGCATAAAATGTCACAGTGATAATTTTTATCTCCATCTTAATTATGAACATTTTAAGCTAAGGGAGACAGACTCATAAGTATCACATTGGTTTTCTTTGTTCATATACCTAGATTTTCATATGGTCAGAATACCCACGGAATATATGAGTGGCAGCAGTAAACAGTCCTTGAAGTTCTTGGTTGTTTAACTTGACTATTGGTGAGGCCCAGTGAGGCCCTGTCTGCTCCAAGCAAATTACATAAAAAAGATGTGAATAAAAACTCATCAAATACTAACAGAGGTGAGATCTGGGAGGAGTGGAGTTACATTTATGATCTGTTTGTTTTCTTTTTCTTACTTCTCTGAATTTTTATGCAGTGAGTGTATGTGTGTATATGTGTGTGTATTTTAAGTTTTTGTTTACAAAAAAGATGAATATATATTTGTTTTTTTAAAAAATCAAGCTATATAGAAATATATAGAGTAAAATGCATAAGTTCTTTTTATTCATCCTCTAACCACATTCTGCTTTCTAGAGACCATAACTGGTTTGCGTGTAAATTTCCAGACCTTTTCTCTGTTTTATCTGTATAATTGTTAACATTATATTGAAAGAGCGAGACTCCATACAGTACAGGTAGAAAACAGTTTCCCTTGCTGTCTCTATAAATATAATATGCAGATTCGTTCTCACTGTCTCGGACAATCATGTAGAATAACAACTCCTCCAGTCCCTTCACGTCCCACCCATCACCCCAGGCACTCTTCCTCTTGGTGCACCTAGTGGGTTCCGGCAGTTCGTGGGCAGCTGCTGACAGATGCAGGTGCTGGCTGGGGAGAGGAAAAGCTGGCCCTCCACCCAGTAGGTGTGTGTGTGTGAATGTGATCAAGAGATAGGAAGGTTGTGGGTGGAGTGTTGTCAACCTCTCTACGGCGGGAGGGGGGGAGCCTTTTAAAGACCATCCTGGCTGGTTCCCTTGCATATGGCGTAAGGGCAAGACTGATGCACTCTGGCTACTGCTGCTGGGAGGCGTGCAGTCTGCTGCACTGCAGCTCTCTCAGTGCCTGGGCCTCCGCACGCAATTTGCAGCCTCTTGCTAGTAGACGATCTTTGGTCTTGAATTAAGTGCCAGTCTATACTTGGCAGACTCCAGCATTCAGGGAGATCTCCTTGAAACTTCTTTTACTTAGAAAGAGGTAAATGTGGAAACACCACCACACCCCAAAAAATCATTCCAAAGAAATTCTCTCAGCATTTTCAGTTTCAGTCCTTTTACAGCCTTGAGGTGAGTGATAGGCTAATGGTTGCAGCTGTCTCCTTTTCAAGTCCTGTCTAGGTGGTCTAGAAACTCATTTTAGAATGCGAGACCACTAATTGCCTCTTGCTTTGTTCTGGGTCTTCTGGGGCCTTAGACAAAGCTGAAAAAGAGTCTCCTTTTCACATTTTGTTATAGACCTAGGTAAGTCATTGTTTTTCCATAAGTTGGAACATATTAATATTCTGTAAGTTGTTATCTTAATTGTCAATATATCAGTCTTTTCATATCGGAAGATGTTGAATTGTCTCATTCTTTTTAATGGCAGTGTAATAGTCCATTGGGTAGATAAACCAGAGTTTATGTAACCATTTCTCTTTTGATAGGCTAATTCTAATTTTTTGCTTTTACAAGTAATGCTGCTATAATTTTTAAATTCACGTGCGTGTGTGTGTGTGTGTGTGTGTACATGAAGTATAGCCAAAGGTAGGTACTAGAAAAATTTTGCAAGATACTACCAAAGTGACTCCAGGAGAGTTGTATGAATTTCTGCTTTCTCCAGCAGTGCTTAAGAGTGAACATTTCCCCACACCTTCACTACATATTTTCATTGTTTTTAATCTTTGCCATTTTAGAGGCTAACAGTGATCTCATTATTTTATTCCATTATTTTCTTGATTATTAATGAGGCAAGACTTTTTTCTCGCCTTTGTCCATTTGTATCTGTGCTCTGTGAATTGCCTATCACATATCCTTAATCCAGTTTGGGGTTCTGGGTCTTTCTCAGCCCCTTGTAGTTTAAATAAGGATAAGATGGCAAAATAATGAAACAGAGACAAATTGTAGTGACTTGCTGAGAACCCTGGTCCCACTCCATGGGGACAAGAAATGGCGGAAGTTCTACAGCTCAGACTATATCACTTGTTCCCCTCAAAACTGTTCACAAGTCTGAATCTGAAACATAGGCTAAATCTTCTCTTCCTTCAAACTGACACATATACTTTTATTAATAACATTTTAGCCAATTCCTTGTATTTGACTGAGAGTGTGTGTGCAAACTTATTTTGAATCTGAAGCCTAACAGGTTGCATTTATGCCTCTTTGTCTCTTCTTAATTCTACACATATTAAAAATTACTAAAGGCATATCGTATTTCAAGAAAGAAAACAAAGAAGATTTTTCAGAGCACCTAGCAGCCATGGCAACATGCCTTTACAAGGGGCATGTACTCTGCTAAAAAATATTCCATTTACAGGTAATGACAGACATTTGCCAAACAGCCCCAAGCTAACCCAAGAAAGAATGGGCAGATGGTTTGAGGTGTGTCAGGAATAGGATTTACAAAATAAGATTATGGTTATGCTGGAAAGTAACAGCAATGGTTGTAAACAAATGGAACAGACTTACTTTTTGCCACGGGGCAGAGGAAGAAAGGGGTTCTGCATTGCTGCTTGTGAACTAGAGTTGGCTTGCTTAGATACACAGCTCTCTGGGATTTTATGTATGTTGTTAGGCACTTGTATAAGCCACATGACTGGGCCTCCAATTGAGTTTCTTCTAATCTGAAGCAGGGAAACTTCAATCTAGTTCTAGAAGCCCCTGCTGGTGTTGGCCCTGTCTTGGTTGTGTCTGGCAAATGAATCTGCATCCTTCTCCACGTGGATTTAACTATCATACCAGTTATAGACTATCAGTTGAGAAGACACTGGAGAGAACCAGCCTGTTTATTCCTGAATGTATATTTTTGGCTGCGGGAATTAGTCATAACAGAGGAAGGTACAGAACACCTCCCAATATGATAGATCTATTTGCTCATCAGCCCAAATCCTGGACCTTGAAGTGGTAATGAATGAGTCTGCCTCTGCCCTGAATTAAAAAATCTCAGCTCTCTCTTTTCCAATTAAATTAAGATTTAGAAAGATAATGCTTCCCCTCTTGGGAGCATTTGGGCATTTTCCAAAGAAACAGAGAGAGGGTTGTCAAAGGGGATTTGCTGACAATGACATGAGAAGAAGGTGATGACAAAGAAAGACTGAAGGTCTCAGACTTCGGGATGGGGTCGAAGCTGTCTCACCTGGTTAGGAAGTGTCACCGTGCAAGTGAAGGGTGGAATTTGGCTTTTAGAATACATTTCCATTAGCCCTGGAGTTTGACAGCTAGCTCCTGATGGCAGCAAAGCATGTGAGGCCTCCCAGTTGGCAAGGCTGATCTCTGACTAATGGGGAAAAATTACCCAATAAGAATTAGCAATCTTACATCACTGATCAGAATCCTTACATTGCCCTTCATGTGGGGAAAAGGATGAGACTTTCAAAAGGAGTTGGACTGGTTTTAACATGGCCTGTTGGTCACCGAGACAGGAAACATTTAACATGAATTAGATGCATTTGGAGTTTGTTTGACTTATCTTGAGCCTAAGGTTTCCAGGTATTAGTGGTATTGAGCACTCATTTAGTGCTTTTATGTATTTTTTAGAAAGTGCCCTCTCATTATTTCTGGGTAGATACAATTGGCCCTGTTTGATCTTGTTCTTTATTTGTACCAGATTTTTCAACTTAACACTTTTGGAGAAGTGGAATCTCTTGAGTGTTAAACTAAGAAAACCAGTGTTGGATGAGTGTCCCAAAAGAGAACAGTGTTGTTATCATAGGCTGAATTGATCCCAGATGGATTCTGGAATGAAAGGATTAACAATGATGTAAAAATGGCCTAAGCACGTGATAGTATACAATACTGAGTCTTTGAAAGTAGGCTTGGCCACAGCCACATGTGTCTTCAGAGTTGGAGGTTAGATACCATTTACTTTGGACTTTGGATGGCATATAGTGGTCAGAATGATTTAAAAATGTTGAGTTAGGCTGGTGTTGAAAGATGGCATAATTTGAGAACAGATACAGCAAAACAAGGCAATGAACTTGCCATCCTCTTAAATGATGTCAGCAGTGAGAAGCCTCGGGCCATGGGCCAGGACAGAGGAGGCTTAGCTTCTTTTTCTTGTCTTCTTAGATTGTGTTGAGAAATCCTGCTCTTGAGCATGTGCTACTGTGTCTTTTGGAAGACAATAATAGCTGGGCAGAGGAAAATGTTGTTGTGGCTTTTTGACCCCTCTCTGACCAGGACAACAAATATAATGACGATAATAAAAATACCCAGAGCACATCCTTATTTATCTCTTCATGGGAAGTCATAAGACTGAAAGGGGCTTTTATTTAGTGGGTTCTACCAGTGGGAAGATATTCAGACAACACTGAACCCACACGTTTGACTCTGGACCAGAGGCTGCATGTCTGACCCCAGGTAGGTATCCTGAGCAGACTGCATGGTTAGATGGAATGATCTCTTCTCTATTGTCTTTTAAGGGGTATGTGATCTGTATACTTACAATGAACTTTTCAAGACACAGGCTACAAAATGCACTGGCTAAGAAATGACTAGGAACCAAGGGCAGAATGGGGATAAAGTGAATTCCAGCAAAATGCTGTCCCTTCAATAAGTCTTACTGGAAGGCCCAAGTGGCCAACTGGAATACCTCCATGGGATACAGCAAGTATGGGGCTTTGGGAAAACACACACACACACACACACACACACACACGGCCTACTTTAGCACAGACCCAGCCATTTGTGAATCAAGATTTCTTGGGGGAGATTTCTGAGTCTGAGACCAGTGGTTCATTATGCTAACCAGGTTGCACACTAGAATAATCTGGGAATATTTTGGCAAAACAAAACAAAAAAAACCCCACAAAAACAAAAAAACAATTTCCCTCCCCCACCCCCTAACCAAAAAAATCAGAATTTTAGGGCACAGAAAAATATATATTTTTTTTTTTTTTTTTTTTTTTTTTTAAATACAGAGTCTCACTCTGTCACCCAGGCTGGAGAGCAGTGGCATGATCTCAACTCACTGCAACCTCCACCTCCTGGGCTCAAGTGATTCTCTTGCCTCAGTGTCCCGAGTAGCTGGGATTACAGGTGCATGACACCATGTGTGGCTGATTTTTTTGTATTTTCAGTAGAGATGGGGTTTCACCATGTTAGCCAG